AGCATAGCCCAGCACAACCGAAGCTTCAACTTTTGGGTAAACCGATCACTCATTCCATGTCTTTTAAATATCTCGGGGTCTGGTTCGATTCCAAATGCACCTGGAGATCCCACATTGAGTATCTGAGACGAAAATGCCAACTAAGGATCAATTTCCTTCGATCAATTACCGGAACGTGGTGGGGAGCCCATCCACAAGATCTTCTGACGTTGTACCGGACAACGATTTTATCGGTTTTAGAGTACCGTAGTTTTTGCTTCCAGTCGGCAGCTAAAACGCACATCATCAAGCTGGAACGGATCCAGTATCGTTGTCTTCGTATCGCGTTAGGATGCATGCACTCGACTCATACTATGAGTCTCGAAGTGCTGGCGGGCATGTTGCCACTATCCGTCCGTTTTTCAGAGTTATCTCTGAGGCTCCTCACCCGTTGCGAAGTAATGAACCCACTGGTAATCGAAAACTTTGAGAAGCTTCTGGAGCTAAATCCTCAAACATGCTTTATGACTTTATACTACCTATATTTAACACAGGATGTCAGCCCTTCAAGGAATATTCCCAATCGTGTAGTCTTCTCCGATTTCGGCAATTCAGTGAATTTTGATTTATCAATGACGCAGGAAATCCGCGGAATTCCAGAGCATCATCGTCCTATGATTGCTCCGTCATTATACGCTGCAAAGTTTGGCCATGTTGATTTTGCAAGAACGTTTTTCACAGATGGATCTCTAATAGAAGAGTCCGCTGGTTTTGGTGTCTTTAATGAATTTCATAGCGCCTCTCGAAAACTTGAAGCTCCTTGTTCTGTGTAAAGGGTGTCCACGATGAAATTGCCACACTATGAAATTGCTCTAACTTTTTAACCGTTGGGTAGAATTTAATGAATATTTGGGTGGATTTAGTTCATAGTGCATTATTTACATCCTGCAAGTTTTAAAGTCCTGTGATCAAAACTCGCGGAAATGGAGTCGAAAGAACAGCTCGTGCGTGATAAAATCTTGCGCATTCATCACGAGAACAAGGATCTCTCGCATCGTTCCATCGCTAAAACGTTGGGAATCGCTAATTCCACGGTGTCGCGAGTGATTAAGCGGTTCGAGGAACGGTTGACCACCGATCGGAAGCCCAGAGGTGAAGGAAAAAGTATTCCGTACAACACCAAAAATCACAACCGCGTAGTTGGGGCCTTCTACCGAAATCCGAACGCCTCCGTTAGGGATGTGGCTAAGAAGCTGCACCTAAGCCGAAGTTTTGTCCAGAAGGCCAAAACTAAGGCTGGGCTTCGAACGTTCAAGGTACAAAAGGCCCCGAATCGCGACGAGAAGCATAACAAGTCCGCCAAAACCCGTGCCAGGAAGTTGTACCTCAACATGCTGACGAAAGTTGAATGCTGCATCATGGACGACGAAACATATGTGAAGGCCGACTTCAAACAGATCCCCGGCAACCTGTTTTTCACGGCCAAGGATAAGTTCAGCGTTCCGGAGCATGTCCGCACTCAGAAGATGTCTAAATTTGCGAAGAAATTCCTGGTTTGGCAAGCCATCTGCACGTGCGGGAAGCGGAGTGCACCTTTCGTGACCCAGGACACGATGAACGGACAGGTGTACATAAAAGAGTGCCTCCAGAAGCGGCTGCTTCCTCTCCTGAAGGCCCACAGCGTCCCAACAATCTTCTGGCCGGATTTGGCCTCATGCCACTACTCCAAGGACGTGCTGAAGTGGTATGCGGACAATAAGGTCAATTTCGTGCCGAAAATGTTCAACCCTCCCAACACTCCGGAGCTCCGCCCCATCGAGAAGTACTGGGCGATTATGAAGCAGCACCTTCTTAAACGACCTAAGGTAGTGAAGACAGTCGAGGAACTGAAGAAAGTATGGGTTTACATGCAAAAAACGGTTGATTCACAGGTTGTGCAGAATCTTATGGCCGGGGTTAATGCCAAGGTGCGGGCATTTGCGTATGGACTGTAAATAAAATACGAGTCAATGGTAAAATGAAGTTAATTAGTTATTTCTCAATCCCTGAAAATTTGATGGCAATCGGATGAAAACTCAAATTTTGCGAATCAATTTTGTGTGTGGCAATTTCATCGTGGACACCCTTTAATACCATTTTTTACGCCAGAGTTAACACTAGTTGTATCAAAACTCATTCCAGCTATTCTTTCCTGCAGACCCCACTCGTTGATTGTCTCCATTATCGCAGCTGATTCAGCATCCGCCGTTCCACTTGATAGAGAAGCTACCGAAAGAAGTTTAGACACCCCTGCTTCAGTAACAAGAATGGGAAGCTGATCAACGCACTTTCCGTTGATGTCAGGCAGAATCTTTCCATCCCAGTGTACTACCAAAGGTACATCCGGATCAAAGCTTTGCTTGGGGTTGTGAATGATGTCGCGGAAAGGGCAGAACGGCGCCAAGAATCCCGAACGACATCAATACCTACTGCAAGTTGTGGAGTACCACCGTAAAATGAAGCCGATGAAATATTGAAGTCTGAGCAGCAGCACATCGACTGATAAGGTTTGAATAAATTGTGCGCCAAAGCAAATACACCCTTGTGAAAAATCACGCTTGTTTCCAAACGACCCCCGTGAAACATAATTGTTGTACTATACCGGAAACCTGTGTAAATTTTTAATCAAAATCGAAGATTCTTTGTGCATGATATCGGCTTTCCGCCATGCTGAGTGAACTCTCACTCATTTATACTGTTACTGCCTCGCGCAAACAGTAGCAGGCGGCAGCTGGCAGTGTTGCTAGAAAAAATGAATAATGAGCAGTTCGTTTGGTTAGCAATCAGTAATTGCTAAATAACTTTTTCCACAAGCGTTGGATCGTTTTGTGGTCTTCAAAGAAAAGTTTGCTTGTAAAATTTCCTAGGAAATAGTTGGATTGATTTATTTTTAGATGACAATGGGTGACCTCACCAGATTTTTATTTGATTTTTCCATAGAAAATCCTATGTAAAATTAGAACCGCTGGCGCTAAAATATAGTTCGACCGACGGACCTGAAATTTTACACAGCTATTCTAGAACCCAGAAGGCGCCCGGAAATCATACTGCAACTGGAATTTGAATTTTGTCCCATCCTAATGGGTATTTGCTAGTTTTTTCTAAAACCGATGGTCTTGCATCGAAATCCGCCCTCTATACGACCCCCTGTTCCGGAAATACTCACCACACCAAAATCCTATATGACCACGATCTCGATATACAGCTTATACAGGAAGTTCAAATACACGCTAGCACCACGTAGTGTGAAAGTTCAGAACTAATATGACAACACAGCAAAAATAAATTTTAATATTACATCCAAGAGGATGCACTTCAATCATGTCGAAAATCACTAACGAAGACAGTAACCTTCTATATGGCCAGGATCTCGATGTACAGAATATACAGGAAGTTCATTTGCACACTAGTGCCGCGTAGTATGAAAGTTCTAAACTAATATGGCGACCATCCGAAAGGACTTGGGCACCTGAACAACTTTGCTGGCCAGGATCAAGAGGTATTCTATGTTGGAACCATATTCCATGTAATATAGTGCCCGTTATAAGTAATATGAAAGTGAAGCGCCTCTAGCGGCGTAGTTCCCAATTAAATCTGAATCGAATGGCACAGGATTGTTGATCTACCCCAGTACAACAACTTTGTCGAGATAATCTACCACAGCCCCTATTAATGAAAATCCCATTATTCAAGGATAGCCTGGCAATAAGGATTCCTAACTGTATCATGATCTAACGACACTTGATACACGGGTAAAATCAACCTAGATGAACTGAAGGTGTTGCAAAAGTACTTCTTAAAGTTCTTAAAGCCCTATTTGTTTGCACTTACCCGAAACTGCTGATTTCGGCATGATGTTAAATCATCTCATACAGACACACTCCCACGCACATTTGCACCATCACGGCCCTTCAACATAATTATTCATCACTTCAGAAGCTGACCAAAAATTGATTGAAAACATCGTCGGTCCTACTATATCGACACGGACAGGTGGGTGGGCTGGTGGTCAATCCCAGTGAGGTTGGATGGCGTCAGAGGAACCCATCAATTTCGACAGCGAATACTTGATGATGAGATAATTGATAAGCGGTGTACTGTGTGTAGAGCTGGCTGATGGGGCTGCTCGCCACACCTACGGACATGTGCCACGTGCCTCGTCATCATCGGCAGGATTTTTGAGTAAATCCGAATCCAGATTTTTGCCTCGAAATGTTCCTGCCGTCTAGGTTTATTCGAGGTGGAACCGGAATTTGTATAAATGAGTGAGCTCGATAATGACGGACCGCGCGAAAAGGTTGATGTTCGCATAATTATATAGGTACGGCTGGCTCAAGCCACAAATGATTGTGCATTCTGTGTATGATGCAACACATCACCATCATATCGGGCATTTCCATTGTCAGCGTTGTTGGGGTGGAAAATTGCAGGTATTAAAATCATAGGCTTTGCGAGCGATTGTGCACTGTGGTTGATAATGAGGTACCTCTGGTTTGTATATTTTTGGGTGTGGAGCTGACAGCCTTTTTTTCCCCCCAGGCATATCAATTTGTCAATCCTTTACGCAAACAGTTAAATGCCATCCATTGTCACAATTGTGCGACGTTTTTGCTGTCCTGCGAGGAAAATAATTTATCATGTCACGTGCCCAGTAAAACCACAAATGAGTGTCAAACATAATCGTATGTTGCTGTCCAAATAAAAGTACTTTTCAAGTAAAACAAAAAATCACTTTCCTTTCAAGTTTAAAATTCACTTGCAATTGCCACATGTTTGCACCTTCTGCCGAAAAGAGAAACATCGAAAGAAATTGTATTTACTTGCTAAACGTCTAAGCGGAACGAGTGGAAAATGCCAGCATTCTGTTTTCTCCGGGAAACAAACGCGAATGAATATCTTTTTCCTCGAAGTTGTTTGATTTACACTCCCATCCGGCATCCTTTCGGCACAGTTAACTAACTTTTATCCCCATCACATTGCAGGTGTAATGCTGGACTACCTCACCGAGAAGCTACCGAACTGGCTGCGGCACACGGCCCTGGGGGTGGCGATGGCCGCGCTGGTCTACAGCTTTGCGCTGTTTTCACCCCTGGCGTACGGCATGAGCGGACCGTTTTCCCACGAACCCAACTCGACGCTGGCCGGACTCAAGTGGATGGATACGTGGGAGTTTTGAAGCTCGATGGCGAAGCTTACCGGTGGTGTTCGACCGTATTTCATGTTTGTTCTCCTGCATTGCTGGTTTATTTTTATTCCGTTCATGTTTTTATACCCCTCCCATCGAGCAGGAAATGATTTGTTGATCCTTTCCACAAGTGGGAGATCCAGTATTTTGATCTATTTCTAATGAAGATGCTTTTAATGAAGAAATACTCGTAAATTATCGGAATGGTGAAGAGTGTTTGAATTTGCGAGAAACTCCCTCCTTGTCGATAGCTGTGAGTATATTTACATATTCAGATTTGGTGCAGACACAGAACCATCGAGAAAAGGTTAGATAGAGTGGGAAATTTTGTTCAGTTTTACAAGGAAACATGCTCTAGTTTTCACCAAGAGTACGGAGTGAAGCTGAAGGAGAGAGATGCTACAGAGGTTTTCTTTCATTTGAAGTGATCATGTGAAATAATGAAAGAGATAAGAATTAGAAATTTATTCTAATGCTATCCTTGGTGAACTCTGCTTCCTGCCTCTTGACTTCGCTGGGTGGGGAGGGAATTTGCGTGAGAGTATCACCACAAGTCATGCCTTTAGCTGGCATGTAGCAATTGTACTGTACTAGACTTGAAGTGAACTAAATAAAAATCATCAGAAATCCCGTTGCGTGAATCGCCAGGACGGGATTTCATTTTCATTTTGATTGCATGGACAGGCTCCATTCCAAGTTATTTTCTCAATTCATCTTTGACCTGATCCAGGGATTCACCACTGGGCAGACCTTTCAAGAAAACCTTAAACAGACGTTCAGTTTTAGTGACATAAGTGAAACAAATGTGTGATACTTGAGGAGACGTTTGAATCCGTCCATGGTTGCGAAGAGCATGGAAGCTGGAAGTGGTAACCACAATAGGCAGGACCTCACCTGGGAGCATATCAAATTGATTACTCAAAAAAATTTCTTCAGAAGGGGGATCAAGAGATTGACCTTAATGACGTCCTTGACGACCTTTTAAGTCTTTGATTTCCATACTGGGGGTACACTTTGTGAAAACCGAAAATGGAAAATGAAACAAAATTATGAAAGATTTTGAACATTAATAACTCAGCTGCCCCTGGACTAATTTCATTAATTTTATCACTAATCGATCAGAAATCTTTCTACGCTTCTATCGCATTTCTTTCGACTGACGATTTTTAATGTGAAGTTATTGAAAGAGTGGCAATGTCAAGCATTGTCCAATTTACAAATAAAAAGTGATAATTATATCACTGTTTTCATGAAATAACCGTTCTTCCCAAACCCAGTCCTCATAATCGAGTATCACTTGGTTGCACATCATTCTGCTTTAACCTGAAAAGATATAAAATAGCGCTTCTGTATGGCATTTGCTCATTTTCGCTTTGGACGGCGTGGTGAACAGCAATAGCAGCAGTAGGAAGGTGGCGGCTAGTCCATCCTTCCACACCCAACCAGCAACAATTAAATGGTCGTGGCAAAGGAGGAAAAGGTCTAATAAAAAAGGTGCCAAGCGTCATCGCAAAGTTCTTCGAGATAACCGCCATCCGTCGTCTGGCTCGCCGTGGCGGTGTCAAACGCATCTCCGGTCTACGAGGTGTGCTGAAGGTGTTTCTGGAAAATGAGGTCCGTGAAGCTGTCACCTACACTAAACAAGCCAAGCGTAAGCGGCCATGAATGTCATCTACACTTTGAAGCGACAGAGACGCACTCTGTACGGTTTCGGAGGTTGAATCATCACCAACTTTGGTAACAAAACGGCCCTTTTCAGGGCCACCAAGCTGATTACAGTAAAGAGTAGGAATATAATTTATCTGCCTGTTTGTCCATATTCAGAACCACACGCCCCCAACGAACACACAAAATGCTCATGCAACCAAACTTGGAAGCAGGGGTATAAATGATTTTGATCGATCCTCCTCATCAACTTTCTATTTGAATCGCCACGGCCGGATATTTTCGATGGAAGAAGCAACAATCTAGCATCTATTTCGATGAAGACGGCAGGAAACATTGTTGAAGCCGAGTTATTTACGAAAGAGAGAGTTGATGAAGAGAATTGATCAATGTAGAGAGAACCTATTGAAAAGTGACGCGAGATTTGTTTTCCGTGCTGAGCACCAATGCTACCGAAGCCAGGGAGGCAACTCCCACACATGGACCCTACCAATCGACCCATCAACTCATGAACCGGGAACCAACGGCTTTACTTCCCTTCCGAAGGAAAGTGTGATCAGAGATGTTATGCCTTAGAACATACCGGTGGCGCCGGCTGAGATTGAACCCAGGCTTGCTAGGGTGAGAGGCAATCACGCTAACCACAACACAACCGGCGCCGCTAACTTTGAAGGTGTTGCCATTGGCAAACTACGCAAAAGGAAAGGAACCAGTGTCGCTACTTGAAAGCGTACTACTCATAATGGGAGGAGTCTTTGTAGCTTTTATACCACTTGGTTGCACATCATTCTGCTTTAACCTGAAAAGATATAATATAGCGCTGCTGTATGGCATTAGCTCATTTTCGCTTCGGACGGCGTGGTGAACAGCAATAGCAGCAGTAGGAAGGTGGTGGCTAGTCCACTCTTCCACACCCAACAATTGGGCAACAATTGACTGATCGTGGCAAAGGAGGTGCCAAGCGTCATCGCAAAGTTCTTCGAGATAACCGCCATCTGTCGTCTGGCTTGCCGTGGTGATGTCAAACGTATCTCCGGTCTGATCTACGAGGTGTGCTGAAGGTGTTCCTGGCCATGGATGTCGTCTACAACAAAACGGCCCTTTTCAGGGCCATCAAGCTTATAACAGTAAAGAGTTGGAATAGTTTAGTTTGTCCATATTCAGAACCACAGGTCCCCAACGACCACACAAAATGCTCTCCAGAGTTGTAATCTTGTAACCAAACTTGGAAGCAGGGATGCAAGTGATTTTGATTGATTCTCTTCATCAACTTTCTTTTTGTAAAAAAATACTACACATTTGATACGCTTACAACTCAAAAACGGAAAGAGTTAAGATAATTGATGATTGATCAATTAAAAGAACTAAATGCTCTTCACATTTGTTCCGTGCCCTAGCGGTCGTATGTCAAGCTTCCGCTCGTGCCTCTAGGCACAGACCCTTCTACTTTTTTTTTACTCAACCCACATGATGTGAGGCATATGACAGTTTTAACAAAATATGATCCATTCTCCAAATTAATCTCGAGTTCAGATCTTGAAGTTCTACAGATTCAAAGAGGTATTGTGCGATGTCTCACCTAATTTTGTGAACCCAAAAAGCTTCGTGGAGCCTCATTATAGCATGTTGTAGACTACGTTAAGCTGTGTAGTGAAATTCTCGAGCGTTTTTTCTAGATATTGATTTAAAATACAGTAGAAGTAACCTATGATTTCGGTTCTATGTACATATTTTGGTTTCCTACTTAGTAAAACTTGGTTAAATTCAGGACTTCATAAAAATACGAATACATATTCTATTAAATTTGGTTCCTAAATAACAATCAGATATGAGTAAGGCTTTCTTCAGGTGATTCATTGAAGCGTCCAACAATGACCGTCATGATGGCTGATATTCCCTAGCATTTCAAGATATATAGGACACAAATCTTGGACGGTTGTGATATCACTCATGAAATTGAAACTCCTTGTGTACTGGACTGCATCAAACGTGAAGTTCCAATTTCTTTGTTATAAGTTTTGTGAGAGCTGATATCTGTACTCTTGAAATTTATATGTGGTAATGAGATTGATCAGAAATAAGGTTTCCTCAGCGATTCAACTTCAAAACGCTAAGCGGAGTGCACAATTTTGCACCAATGTAATGGAACATTTCATAGTTGATCGAGATATCAATTAGCCATGAATCCCTCCAATAAGTTCTCGGTGCATCTTTTATCTACACGCTAACTTCTGCTTACTCACCAGGTGAGTCGATCGTACTCACGTTCGTCCGATGTATCGAGTTGTCAAAAATTGAGTAAACGAGAAATGTCAAACTGAGTAAAAGCCACACAGTCAGTAAAATCCTGGACTTGCAAAAAATGCCAGTCATGTCGGAGGAAACCTCATAGGAAATTTCACTCAAAACCGGCTGAAAAGCCTTCAGGTAAGTACTAATTGCTTAGGGAAACGGTGTCACGCGTGAGAACGTCGGTTACTCAAAAGTGAGTCAACATAAGGCTATTCAATTTTGAGTAGCCCTACTTGCCGCTGAGATGAGTACATTCGACTCAATTTTGAGTTGACCAGAATAAGCGTGTACCGATTGAACAAATAAAAAAAATACTAAGGCTGTGTTCCATTTGGAACATTTTCACTTAGATTTGACACTTCGAAAATAAATGAAGATGTTCGAAAACCCCTCTGTTGTAGATCGGCCGATTTTCGAGGAAGCGTCTGTCAAAATTGATTCCTTGTCTGTCAGAAATAAATCTGCTGGATAAGCAGGTTTATTTGAAAATTTTCCATCTGTCGAATTTAAGTAAACATTCACCAAATGGAACTCAACCTTAATAACTTGAGCACAGAATCGTTTCTTGTACAACAAACACAACAAACATTAGATGCTAGATAAAAACTTCTTTATCGATATGTGTGCTGAAAATACCTGAGCCGAGTGAATTCAAGGAGAAAGTCAACTAAGAGAATCTTGAAAGTGTTACTTAGGACCTAATGCAATGTTCAGATTGAATTGTTTTGCTTAGCTGTAGCAATGTAAACAGAAAATCGATGAAGAGAATCGAACATTACAAGTAGGCCCTTTTGAACGCTCACTTTCGAATTTCAGAACCTAGCACTGAAAAAACTCGACGGTACCTCTATTTATGCTAAGAGATAAGCATTGGAAGTCCTCCCTACTTGAAGAATTATGCAATCGAACGGCTGGCTATGCCTCGAACTGGGGTTGTACTTTCATAGCTAATCTAAAAGCATAAATAGAGATACCGTCTGATAATTTCAGTGCTTTGGAACAGAAAACTGCAATCTGTGTAGGAAAATCCTTCGTATCACCACAGAAACACCCCGTTTCCGTTTTCTTATGCAAAATAATGAATGTGCGTTCACAAAACGCACGAAATCTTAAAAACCATATTAAGATTTTTTTTTATTCAATCAATAGATTAAAGATGAACCGATAATTAAATGGAGGGATTTCAAGCTAAAAAGTTCTGATCGCGAAATATTGATAATCAATACCGAAATTGTCCAACCCGTTTGG